AGTCTCCTGCCTCAGCCTCCCAAGTAGCTGGGACTACAGGCGCCCACCACAACGCCTGGCTATTTTTTGGTTGCAGCCATCATTGTTGTTTGGCAGGTCCGGGCTAGATTCGAACCCATCAGCTCAGGTGTATGTGGCTGGCGCCTTAGCTGGTTGAGCCACAGGCGCCGAGCCTTTCACTTCATTCTTGATTTATGTTGAAATTGTTTAGTTGTAGATTTCTGGGCAGGGTCAGTGATTTCCGATGTGTATGTGAATATTCATGTAAGGAAGTACTTGTTTCTGTGGAATTAAAATTACTTTAAAAGCTAAGCAATTAGGTAAGTATATTTTCATGCAAATCCCCTGATTTTATTATATGTGTGAAATAGATATTTTCTTTCTCTCTTTAATATTTTTGTTTTTACTTGGAAACTGATAGGTTTTACCTCTCACGCAAAGTAACTCTTTAACCTGAGACCAGTGGTTCTCAACTTTCCTAATGCCAGAATGTATTTTCATTGTTACAAAGGGGTCATGACCCATAGTTTGAGAACTGCTACCTTAGACTGACATCTGATTAACTTTCCAGAAGGGATTGATAAAAAATCCATGGCGGCGCCTGTGGCTCAAAGAAGTAGGGTGCTGGCCCCATATGCTGGAGGTGGTGGGTTCAAACCCAGCCCCGGCTGAAAAAAAAAAATTCCAAATTGGTGTCATGTGAATGTGATTTAACCCTTCTTTCTGTTTTTCCATATTTATATTGATCTTCCCCTTAATTGTGCTAATTATGTTTATTCTAAGCTCAGAATGAGATATCAAGGAGAAAGTAATTTACTAAATTTAATTTCCTTTTCTTTCTTTTTTTCTTTGAAAGGTGGGGGAATGGTACTAAGGATCCAAGTATACTGTTAAAAAAAGAAAAACCCAAACATGAGGAAGGTAACATTTATGATCTGACATTTATGTTATATAGGACATATTACTGTAAAAACTATCAATTTAGCCAATATTTTGTCTAAAAATATTATATTTTAAAGGTCAGCATCTCTTTTGCAGCCTATTTAATGTCCAAATGGTATGAGAGACAGAATTTGGGATGTAGAATCTCTTCCTTTGTGGTATATGGTTGGATATTTGATCATTAATAGAGTTGTTGGTATATTTTATTTTGGTTTAAGTTGCAATTTCAATAAGAAATCCTTTCACATTTTAAGGAGTATGTTTCTGTAAATAGGATAAATATTTTTTTTGTTTGTTTGAGACAGAGTCTCACTTTGTCATCCTCGATAGAGTGCTGTGATGTCATAGCTCACAGCAACCTCAAATTCTTAGGCTCAAGTGATTCTCTTGCCTCAGCCTTGGTAACTAGGACTACAGGCGCCAGCCACAATGCCCTATTTTTTTTTTGTTTGTTTAGCAGGCCCAGGCTGGGGTCAGCCTACCAGCACTGGCACAAGTGGCCGGTGCCCTAACCACTGACCTATGGATGCCCAGCCATAATAAAAATATTGCTGATTATCTCAACTGTTACTTTTGTGTTATATAACCTTTAGGTTATATAGCAAATTTTAACCCAACTGAAATTTAAACTATAAAATGTATTCTTTTATAGTGCTGGTGCTAAGAGTTGAAACATTTTTGCTGTCATTTAACGCCAGGATATTGAGTTTTAGCAAATTAATGGTTGCCTGGAGTTTAAAACAAAATTTAAAGTGGGCTAGTTCTCTGAGGAAGCTTTTGTTGGTGGAAGAACTTGAAGGTCCTTGTAGCTTCTTTCAGCATCTGAGAACTTTAATATTCTTGAATTTGAAAGTTCTAGGTTCATCCTTAAAATTATAATGTAAAATATTACATTTAATTTAGAGATGTGTCAAGCAAGGTATACGCTTAGGAGGTGGAGGTGGCATTATTACTGTTGTTTATCTAATTTATTCAAAATTGAATGGCTTAGATCAGTTAGTGTTTTATTATTTTCATACCCATCAGCTTTCTTTTCTCTTCTTATGCATGTCTCTGTGTCTCTCTATGACTGTCATTTAATTTTCATGGAAGTCACCATAGCTTTTCCTTTCTTTCTTTTTTCTTTTTTTTTGCCTTAGTTCAGAATTTTATTTTAGCAGACCCTTAAGAGATTTAAATAATCTGGAGTACTGTTTATATGTTTATTATAATCTGCTAAAAAAATGTTAACCTTGCACTTTTACTATGTTAAAACATAAAGCCAAGATAACCTATGTATCCATGCACTATTCCCACCCACAATTCCTTTTTCTAAGGTGAAATCATATGGTTTATTTTCAGGTTGCATATTCTTCCCACTCAAATGTTAAGTATTGGAATGCTCTATCCAGTCATAAATGCCAAGGATATCTCATTTGCCTGCCTGTCTGAATGAGCTGCCCAAAACCTTCAAAATAGAATCTCCATCTAAATAATACCCAAGTCCTACTTTTAAGGTTCCCATCCAATTTATGTAGAACAAGTATATCCACAAGATACTCTAAATACTTTTAAGCTTCTATCACCTACTCTCAATCTTTGAAGAAGGCACCCTTCCACTTCCCAGGTTTATTCCAGCCTCCACCCAAGGCCGTGTATTTTTTTTTTTTTTTTTTTTTGAGACAGAGTCTTACTATGTTGCCCTCGATAGAGTGCTCTGGTATCACAGCTCACAGCAACCTCAAACTCTTGGGCTTAAACGATTCTCTTGCCTCAGCCTCCCAAGTAGCTGGGACTACAGGTGTTGGCCACAAAGCCCAGCTATTTCTTTGTTGTAATTGTCATTGTTGTTTGGCAGGCCCAGGCTGGATTCGAACCCTCTAGCTCTGGTGTATGTGGCTGGCGCCCTAGCTGCTGAGGTACAGGCACCTGAAGACCTTGTATTAAGATACTCATATTAGGCTCAGTGCCTATAGCTCAACCGGCTAAGGCGCCAGCCACGTACACCTAAGGTGGCGGGTTCGAATCCCCAGCCCGGACCCGCCAAACAACAATGACGGCTGCAACCAAAAAATAGCCGGGCGTTGTGGCGGGCGCCTGTGGTCCCAGCTACTTGGGAGGCGGAGGCAGGAGACTCACTTGAGCCCAGGAGTTGGAGGTTGCTGTGAGCTGTAATGCCATGGCACTCTGCCCAGGGGGACAGCTTGAGGCTCTGTCTCAAAAAAAAAAAAAAAAAAAAGATACTCATATTAAACCCTCTGTTTCTTTCAATGGCCCCCATACAGGAAAAAACCCATTTACCTTCTAAATCTCTGTACTTGCCCTATAATTATCATCATATATATCTGTATCTCTGACTTTCTTGTACTCCGAAAGTGCTAGATAATCTCCATTCTACTTTATTTTATTTATTTTGAGACAGCGCCTTACTGTGTCACCCTTGGTAGAATACCGTGGCGTTGTAGCTCACAGCAACCTCAAACTCTTGGGCTCAAGTGATTCTCTTGTCTTAGCCTCCCAAGTAGCTAGGACTACAGAAGCTTGCCAGAATGCCCAGATATTTTTAGAGACAGGGTTCTCGCTCTTGCTCAGGCTGGTCTCAAACCTGTGAGCTCAGGCAATCCACCCGCCTCGGCCTCCCAGAGTGCTAGGATTACAGGCATGAGCCACCTTGCCTGGCCTGATAACCTCCATTTTAAACATATGCCAACTCAAATTAAGGCAGTAAGTTTTTTAACGCCTCTTAATAAAAATACAAGAACACAAATCCACTTTTATTTACTTTTCATCAGTTTAAATCCTTGAGGGGTACAGCATCACACGGACTCTGTGTCCAATGGCCTTAGCGGGAAGATTGCTTTGGAATTTGGCATGAACCATGCCACCGTTTCCATGGTCCTGAGTTATCTTTTCCCAGATTTCCCTGGTTTTGTTTGTTTTGCCACCAGGAGTCACTGTGTTGTTCTTTGCTTTGTATACATAAGCATATCTCTTGCCCACATAGAATTCAGTTTTATCTTGGGTATAAACACTTTAATTTAATTTTTTATGAGACAGAGTCTTACTTTTTCACCCTCAGTAGAGTGCCATGGCATTATAGGTCACAGCAACCTCAAACTCTTGGGTTCAAGTGATTCTCTTGCCTCAGTCTCTCAAGTAGCTGGGACTACAGGCGCTTGCCAGAATCCCCAACTATTTTTAGAGACAGGGTTCTTGCTTTTGCTCAGGCTGGTCTCAAACCTGTGAGCTCAGGCAGTCCACCTGCCTCGGCCTCCCAGAGTGCTAGGATTAGCATGGTGCCTGGCCTAACACTTTGAATTTTAAGAAGAGCTTATGTGATCTGTTTGGTTCCGGGGACCTTGCTTATAGCCAGCAAAAATGGCCTTGGCCCACACAGCCTTCCAGACATATTTGCCTTTTAGAAGTCCTGTTCCCAGCAGACCTCCACAGGCCCCAAGATGGTGGAAAGAGCCACTTTAGTTTTTCTTATCCTTAATTCTAGTCTGGTCAGTTAATACTAACATTTGATGGAATAATTAATAGGGATCACATCCTTATATACTTTGGTAAAAGGCAAAAGATTTATCTGAAGAGAAACCAGAGTATATCTGATGTGGTCTGGAATAAAATTCACAATTTATAGCAAACTTCTTAATTCCTTAAAATTGCACATTTTAAAGTATTTTCTCCTCATAAGGATTCTAGAACTATATTAGATCATATACACAATCAAATACAGCTAAACCTTGAGGCCATTTGAAAACTGGCTGTCTGCCAGAAAAAGAGTTGAGCTACTGCTCTTGCAGAGAAACATTTCCTTTTGGTTTTGTTAAATGAAAAAAATGATGGTGCAGAATGGGCTTATATTATTTGAATCTGACTAAAGAACCTGAGAGAGTGCTTATGACATTGTTGGTCTATTGTTGTGGAAACTTGTGCTGTCCTGTCAGTCCTGCTCTCTTACAAATTGTTTGGATTTGTGGATAAGTTCCCCTATTCTCTTTCCTACTGAGAGAGGGAATTTCTAATTTATTTCCCTGGAGGAACACTGTCAGCCTTCCTGCTAGGAACTTTGTTAGTGAGTTTCAGTGAAGAAACTAAACAAGCTTACAAGCTTGGCTCAGTACTTTCTGGGACCTTCTCAGATCTCTTCCTATAGAGAGGTTGCCTTTCTGGTCTCCATTCAACTAGGTGGTAAGCTCTTGGTCAGCTGTGCTGGTTATTAGGTAGCATATTATTAAGACTGATTAGTTGACTATAGAGCTAAAGTCATATTCTTCGGTTGCTATTAGTTTTTGTTTTGTTTTTTGAGATGGAGCCTCAAGCTATCCCCCTGGGTAGAGTGCCATGGCTTCACAGCTCAGAGCAACCTCCAACTCCTGGGCTCAAGCGAGTCTCCTGCCTCTGCCTCCCAAGTAGCTGGGACTACAGGCGCCTGCCACAACGCCTGGCCATTTTTTGGTTGCAGCCATCATTGTTGTTTGGCGGGCCCAGGCTGGGGATTTGAACCCGCCACCTTAGGTGTATGTGGCTGGCGCCTTAGCCGCTTGAGCCACAGGTGCCGAGCCAGTTTTTTTTTTTTTTTTGAGACAGTCTCACTGTGTTGCCCTAGTAGGGAGAGTGCCATGGTGACATAGCTTACAGCAACCTCAAACTCTTAGGCCAAGCGATTCCCTTGCCTCAGCCTCCCAAGTAGCTGGGACTACAGGTACCTGTTACAATGCCTGGTTATTTTTAGAGATCAGGTGTGGATCTAGCTCAGGCTGGTCCAAACTCTTGAGCTCAGGCAATCCATTTACCTGGGCCTCCCAGAGTGCTAGGATTACAGGTGTGAGCCACTGTGCCCTGCCGTATTAGTTCTTAATTAGCTCCAAATTGGGAGTGAGCAAAAGGTAATGTTGTTCCCCCCCTAAAATCTTGGTGTACTGGCTTTGAAAAAAGAAAAAAAAGACCAGAATTGGCATTGATGTCAGAATGACATGAGGAGAATGACATGGGGC